TTATTGAACTTATTTTGAGTTTAACATTCAAATATTATTTGTGCAGTAAGAGAATAAAGACAGCATATGAAATTTTATTATATCACAAACAGAATGGTTACACATGGAGATAGAACAATGGAAACTGGGAAGAATCTGGTAACAGTGACAGCAGCACCAGCAACCTGGAAAACCAGCAACCTGATTAATTTTTTTATTCCTTGTAAGAATTACCAATTATTAACTGGCTAACTCAAGGAAAATTACAATGAAATCAGCAAGTACAAAGGCATATGTAATGTTCTTCTAAATGAGGAAAGCTCAGATCCCTAGTGTTACAAATTAATATATAGTTCCATGTATCATTTAGGGAATTGGGTATCGCTGTGACTGGGGTGTTTAGGAACAAATAAGCCAGTTTCAAGCTTCACAGGATGTACTGATGTTCATAAGCAGTTCACGATGCTAACAGTTAATTCTTAATTACTATCAACCATTATTGCTACATACACAAAACAATTAGTCCTTAACAAATCTATCCCAGATGACCTGGGAGTACACAACACAGTGGAGCTGATGCTACGTAGTTAGTGCTGATGGCTGCGCTCCATGGTGGTCCTTAGTCACCAGGACCAAGGTGATCAGGCTTGAGACCTCCTTGCAGGCAGTTTGCCGTCTTCGTTCTTTACTCAGCTCATGTTTTATACTCTCCATCCAAGATCCAAAAGGAAAGGAAGTGATCTTATCTGCTCTTGATGACTTATTTGGGGGACTGGGACATGTTCTGGGTGTTGCTTATTCTGAAGGTGCCACCAGACACCCTTCTGGCCTGCTCTGCAGAATTGTCTTGGTCTTACCAGGCATCTTTCCCCTTCTGTTTCGTTGTTTGTTTATTTGTTGACAGGTTTCCAATTGTCATTTCTTAGGTAAGCCTGATTTTGCCTATTTAGCAAGGCTTTAAGAAAATAGCTGGAAAGGGTGACCTAGGAAGGAGTAAGCTGTACAGGATCACTTTGGGTTGCTATGAAAAATCACAGAGTGAGACTTCCTGAAACGTATCTCTTGCCACACGAAGGAGAAGGTGATTGGGAATGCTCTGCAAAGGCATACAGGTCCTACAAGCCTGTAGTCACTGATTTAAGTAAAATGGCTGAAGCTGCTTCCTATGGCACAGATAATCTGCTTTTGAGCTATCTCAACTGTTGGCTGACAAATGCAATCTGAGATAAAAAGAGTGTGTTTAAATGAAAACAGCAAAGATCTGAGGGCTAATTGTAGGTGGGTAATGTCTGCCTCAGAGGTGGGGGGAATACACGGTAAAGCATCTGCTATCTCACTTTAATCCACATCTGAAAATCTACCAGAGCCTTCAACGTACGAATTTGGGGTGCCTCCGTCCTGTGAAATCCACAGTCCTCCAACAGATGCGCAGGCTGCTCATGCAGTGCTGAGAATGAAATTTGCAGGCTCCAGAAGCCGGCTCAGGAGCCACCCAGTTGAGACTGGAGGATTATGAAGCGGCATCCCCTGGGGTGCCTCTGAAGCCAGGAGGTGCTTCAAGCAGGTTAGCCCTTTTCCAGAGGAGCAAAATGGGAGGCCAGGCCTACCCCTGACGAGGGCATCCTCCTGCCTGGGAGATTGGAGCCGAGTTTTCTTTTTCCTGCCCTGCCCTGCCTGATTTACCACAGAGCTTGAAATAAACATAAGGATGGGGGTTATCTTTGATTTCTTCTCCCGAATCCGTGTTACCTTGTAACAACAACTGAGTATTTACTGGAGCAGAACTTAAAGCCCACACTGCTGCAGCCAGGGTGAGCACTTTAATCGGTGCTTTCTCTCTACGGGGTGTGTGTGTGTGTGTGTGTGTGTGTGAACGTTTAACCACCTGTGAAGCAGAGCCCTTCAGGTTCGTTCCTGCGCGTTGCGTTTCTCGAAGGCGGAGAGCTCCGAGGCCTCTCTCCGCGGCTGTCGGGCGGCGACAGCCCTCTGTCTCAGCTCCAGATCGTGCCCCGCGGGACCCCGAAGGCAATTTAACCCGTTCGACGGACGCAGAGCCAAACATCCTGACAGGACCGGGAGGGCCCGGCCGGGCCGGGCCTCCCCTGGCCCCGTTCCATAGACGCTGGCGGCCCCCCCGGCCCCGCCCCGAGGCCCCGCCCCTTCCACGTCCGCAAAACCACCCGCGGGGGTGGGGGGCGCTCACCCGGAAGTGCTCCCGGAGGGCGACACCGCCCAGCGAGGGTGCTTCCGGGTAGCAGCGCGCTTACCCGCTCGGCC